ACCAGGGGATAAATATGGGCAGCTGTCACAGATTCCTCAATGCTCTCAGAAAGCATTCTTAAATAGATAGACCAGATAACAACCAGGAATAAGATTGAGCCAGTGATCCCAATCAATCCTACCCATATTCAGTCATGGCCTGAGAACCTCCTCAATAGACTCACCCAAAAGAAAGACCATTAATTGTTACCAATCAATATCAGTAACAAAAATTTCCAACAACAGAGCCAGCCGTCAAAATGTGGTTGTATCATTTCCACTGAACTGATTCAAAAGAGCCAGGTCAAAATTATTTACTATAGATATATGTTTTCATTGGGTGTGTTCACTTTCTTTCAATGGACTAGTATGGGCTCATTTTGGTAACTAATAGCCAAAGTTGTTTTTTGGTCTCTTGGAATATGCGGGAATGCTCATTGTTTCATAAACCTTGAGAGCTTTGTTATTTTCAATAAACACTCTCTTTACAAGGATGACTGCAGGGAAAATGAGTTTGATGAGGTGAGTCATGAGTGTGTGCTTTTATTTATTTCTCTTAGCGAGTAACAAAAAATATATGCAATGGAATTATTTATGAAACACTTCCAATGCAATAACGTAAAATAAATCTATGTCCAGCTGAGTAGATAGAGTTTTAAATAAACTATAGAAGTACGTATGCCTGCAAATGAAATAAATTCGCAGTAGATGATTGAGGCATTGAACAAATTTTCCTAAAAAAAAATGACCCTTGATTGTCTACAATGAGTTAATGACAAAAAAAGGGAGGATAATTTAGCTAGTGTTCATATGTTCTTGCAGGTATTATGATATGAATCATAAGCTTTACAGATGCACTCAAGTGTTAAAATATTAAACTATTAATAAAACATTCTACCACATTATATATGTTCTTAGCTGTATAGCTCTAAAAAAACATGTATGTTGCAACCATAGTAAATGATCATAGCTTGCAAGCTCTTTGCTCTAAGTGCATACATCCATTAACAGAAAAAAAATTCTGGGCGCAGTAAGAAAAATAGAGAAAAAATAGATTTGTGTAGAGCAATAAACTAGTCGACTGAAAGACATACCTTACGAGCAGCATGTTTATACTTTTTATTTTCCAAGCAGGCCAACCCAGAAGCACAACGTAATTTTGCAATAATAATTGGATCAACTAAATCTGGTGATTGCTCAGCTTTAGTGACAGAGTTTATAACATGGGTAAACTGTCCCATCTCAATCCCGACCAAAATTGTGTTCAAACACATCTGAATTATGTGCTTTGGTGTGGTGCAATAATCACGGGTGCGAGAGTAGTTCTTAAAAGCATCCTGGAGTGAACCATGAGCATAGAAAAAATCTCCAAAGTCGTTGTAGCCCATCCTAATGCTTTCTTTGATCAAATTAGTCTGTAAAGAAAAATATAGTGAAATATATACAAGGTTATAGTGAACAAAATGAGAAAAATGGGCTTTAATCACTGCAATTAGATATATAAAAAAAATTCATTACAACAAGACATATATTAACTTATCAAGCAATCTTGATTGTTTGTACTTTGGCCACGAGGGATAAATGCTCAAGATGGTGTGTATGAGTATGACAATTTGCAACACACAGTTAAGCTTGATTATCCATCCATCGCATATAAAGTCATAAATAATCAAGACCATGTAAGGGCATGTATGTTATGAGGAGCGGCGCACACATTTCATACTTTCGAGGTTGTAAGTGATTGGGTTGTCAATTTTGTATTGAGAGCAAGATATGGGACAAAAAGTATTATTCTTAGAAAATTCGACGCCTCTAGTTCAGCGTACAACTTTTAGCATAATTTATTTTTATCTTCGCGTGAATCATAATGTAAGTCCAATTTAACCATGTAATGGAACTAGAACTACATTTTCAAAAGATACAGAGCAAGTTCAAAAGTTATATTTAAGTATATAACTATTAGGTGGGGGCTTAGCCCAGTCATGGCCTGGTTCAAAAGTTATTATCTCTAGATGTGGGTTTTCTAGTGAGCCAGTAAAACTTTTGTGCCTCTCATACCAACCAAAGTCTGTACAACAATCTTTGAAATGCTAGAAAAACAGTATCGCGTAAAATAGAGAGTTCCAATCATGTTCGAATACCCCTTCTATGATGGTTTAACTTGCAAATGCAATATTCTAAACTAATAACCTTAACGTCTTCTAGGGTTTTTAAAAGGACTCCCTTTTTCTCAAACTTCTGTAATCATTTAAACCACACTTAACCCCAAAAATACACACAAAACCTAACTAAACTCAAAATCAAAGCATAAAATATATACCTTATAAGCATTCAACTCATTCTCAAGTTTATCTTTCCTCATCTCAGCTCTACGATCAACACTATCAGCCCAAGCATGATCCATAACATAACTAGGACCTAACCTTCCATCAATTTTCTGAACAACTTCCCTAAAAAATAAAGTATTTTCACCTTTCTTGATCTCATCATAAGCCATTCGAAGTGCTTCTAATTCCATTGTTTGATTTCCACATCGATCAGCTATGAATAAAAGTCTAGTTATTTTTGTTCTACCACTATAAAGACTCGCATAAGCTTCAACATCTAATTGTTCACTACTTATAATTGGTTTGCTTTGCTTCTCTTCCATACCATTTGTGTAGATTTCTTCAATCATGTCTTCACCTTCCATTGTTTGTTCTTCGATAACAAAACCCTAGAAAAACACGAGAAGGGAGTGTTCTTATAGAGGAAAGAGAAAGATGTTCTGGTTTTTTTAACTTTAGCGTGCTCTCTATTTATCGGTGTGATGGACTAATGGGTTAGCCCTCTTAATATTGGGCCCTTTAACTACTACTTATATGAAAAGATCCAGTCCAATTAAATCATTACATGTTTGAAGTTGGGCTTAGACTTTGGTACATTTAACCCATTGGACTTAACGGACTCAAAAGAGTAACCCGATCCGACTGTCACCCTCTAAAAAGGAAGCATGGAGCAACGCTTTTCTGCAAAAAAACCAACAATCATCAACCAACTGTGTGCTCAAAAGGTCTACTGTTAGAATCTCTTCGCTTCATCTTTCGCTAAAAAAAAGGGTTTCTTGAAAGAATCTCTCGATTTCTTCTCAGTGTCTAAGGTACTCTTCTTCGATTTCATTACATTCGATCTATGTAAACCTTCGTTTCTTATTTTTTCTTCAGATTTTTGGTCTTTTGTTTCTTTTGTTTAGGTTTTCTTGAATTTGAAAAAATAATTGAATCGTGATTTTTATGGTCTCTTTTGTGTTTAATCTTCGTTTGATGGGTTTGGTTAGGGATTTTAGGGCTGAGTTTTAGAGGTTTATTCTTCTTAACAATATTTATTTTAGGCTACAAACAATTTTAGGGAGTTTGACTTGAAAGTGGACTAGATTTTGACATGTTATATGAGATAAAATGCATTTTGAGTTGTTTTCTTCTTGTTGGTTTTTGTTAGAATTTTGTATATGTTACATATATGTTGAAATTAGAAAATAGAATTTAATTGATAATCACAAAACAAACGTTAGTTCAAATGATTGGGCACCAGATGTCCAGAGCATATATGTTTTGTGAGTGGATGTAGTAACTAGGATTTATGATGAACTACTAAGATTTTATCACTATTGAGAATCTGGACCATGCGTTGGCGTTGGACACACTCCAACAGCTATGGAGAAAAACTATACTTGGTAAATGGGGCACTATGTGCAAGAGAGTTGAAGTATATTTTTCCTTTAAAATATATCTGAGCTAGTTTATTCAGGGCCCACTGAGTTATGTGTGCTCATGTATTATCTTAACGCGTAGACTAAAGGGTCTTATTGTTTGTCTTAAAACACTTCCTTTTTCATATATATTTTTTTCCCTTTTCAGGATTGCGGTAGGGCCGACTTAAACCAAAAACATAAACAGAAAAAGCTCTTCTTTGAGGCTACACTAAAGTGCTTGTCTTAGCAATGTTTTGTGGCTGTTCGAATTAATTTTTCTCCAATGTCTGGGTTACTCAATGTACTTACTCTTCCTCAAGTTATCTCTTCTAGCATTCTATGTTTTCCAATATTGACTTTACAATATGCATATATTAGAAAACGTAGCTTTCCTTGCAAAGGGCAATTTGTATTTGGATGTTGTTGAATGGACACTAATATATTTGCAAACCTAACCACAAAAGTGTGACAGATGTTCAGTTGCATTTTATTATTTTCCGAATGTTATGCATTGGTATCCTGGACATTGGGAATATAATACTTGGAGAGATACACATGTTTATATCAGTTTTCAATTTTTCATAAGTGGCATTTTATCAGCCTTCATAACTGGTATTTCACTGTGCACAACACATTTTCATGTACTATAGATTTAGCACAATACTCTTATATTTTATAATAAATTGTACTAGCATGTTTAACACAGAAGAAGTCCTTTTTTGAACATTATGTTTCAAGGGCGCTCTAATTGTTAAGTTTAGTGTGCATGTTGGACATACGTAGCATGTTCATTTGAAATTTTAGCATTGCAAATTGAATGGTCCTCCCACTGCCCAATCAAAGATCTTGACTTCCATGCCAAAAATAATTTTCTGCTACTCTATTTTTTAACGGTTTGCTACTGCTCCATTCTTTGACAAAGATCAGACCGTTGCCTTTAAAATGTGCTGCATCAACCAGTTACTTGGCCCCATCCACCAGACATACCCATCATCAGGCCAATTTGATCTGAATGAGGCTGGCGTTTGATCCCAAGCCGATGCCTATATCCTTTTTATTCTGCATAACTGTGATATTATATGGAGTTTATTAGCATCAACACAAAACATAGTGCTGTAGTAGTCAATAACACGTGTCATTGTCATTTATACAAATCTATTTAAAGTTACTTAAATTAAACTACTCCTCCCATTATCATTAAATCATATGGATTTCCATGATGCAGCTTGTTTGTTCATTTTATAAATATTCTTTCGATTGCAGTCAGCACTCAACGAATCAAATACAAATCTTCCAGACACCACAGTTCGGCCTTTTGGCTCATCTTTTTCTACCCAATCTGCTTCGGCAACTCCAGGTTTTCATCATGCTGGTAGGACATTGTTCTAGAGTTATAGCTTCTCTACTTTTAATCAATGATTAGTCCAAGTTTATAGTTGTGATCCTTGTTAACAGGAACAGTACAAGGTCTGCATAACATTCATGGGAGCTTCAACATTCCCAACATGCCAGGCTCACTAGCATCAAGAAATTCAACAATGAATGGTGTCCCTTCAAGTGCTTTACAACAACCTACTGGAAGTCTTTCCAATGGAAGATTTGCATCAAACAATATTCCTGTTGCTCTTTCGCAGGTGCTTTTTTCGAGTTTTTCCTTTGAGATTCATGATTGTTAAAGCAATCAAACACAAAATTTCTAGATTTTCACTTTCAGCTATGAACTTGAGATTTATGCTCGGTTATATTTTATAGTACAGATATCTCATGGCAGTACGCATGTGCATTCAGGTGCAACAAACAGAGGAGGTACACTAGTTTTAATAAAAGCATGGAGTTTCTCTTTCTGGCACTTTCCTACTGTTCCTATGGCTAACTGCAGTGCTATTACAGGAATGGGTGTATCTCCTATGTTGGGAAATGCAGGTCCTCGGATTACAAGCTCCATAGGAAACATTGTTGGTGGTGGCAATATTGGGAGAAACTTAAGCTCTGGTGGAGGATTGGGAATGCCTGGACTGGCTTCTCGAATGAATCTATCAGCTAATGGTGGATCTGGAAGTTTGAGTGCACAAGGACCTAACAGATTGATGGGAGGAGTTCTTCCCCAAGGTAGTTTTTTTTTCCCTTTTCTTTTTACTTGGTTGACACACACAAAGAAGGTGCCATTTATTTTAACAAATGTAAGAGCAATGTTTTGCAACTGACATGTGCTATTTAGTGATACAAATTATTTTCCGTCCATTGAATAGGATAGAGGCATAGAGCATGCCATATTTGAGTTAGTTTCTCTCCTACCCCAGGAATCGAATCTGTCTCAGACTCTCAGCTTTCAGTGCAAGTACTTTTGTTATAAATTCTCGCACTAAACAATTCTATCTATATGCATAGAAATATATGTTTGCATGTTTCTTTTTTGATTTTCTATTTCGGTGGTATGGTACTATTTGATCTTTGTGATTTTCTCACGCTTGTATAGTTGTATACTTGTATTAATGATTTGCATTTTACATAGATTTGGAATGTTGTAAGGTTCCGACTGTTTGTCTGATACAAGAAATAACTTGTATTGTACTCAGGACCGCAGGTGATGTCTATGCTTGGAAATTCGTATTCTGGAGGCCCAATGTCTCAAAGTCAAGTCCAAGCAGGCAATAATTCCTTAAATTCTATGGGAATGTTAAATGATATGGGCTCCAACGACAATGCTCCTTTTGACATGAATGATTTTCCTCGGTTGAGTGGTCGCCCTGGTTCTGCTGGAGGTCCTCAAGGACAATTGGGTATGGTGCTACCTTTGTATCAAACTTTTTCTTCAGATGCTTCTTTGACAACAGAATATTATCTGTATTATTCATTGTGACTCAGGTTCGATGCGAAAACAAGGTGTTAGCTCTATTGTTCAACAGAACCAAGAGTTCAGCATCCAAAATGAGGATTTTCCAGCTTTACCTGGATTTAAAGGTACTGCAGTTTCTGATGCATCAAATGGAAGTATGTTATATATGGATATATATGTTGTCAGTTATCACATATTCAATATGTTATTCTGCCACATTAATTAATTTGTCTATTTTCACCGTAACTTATCTTAGGAAGTTGTTGTATGCCAAGTCTGTTTGTTAACAATACATGAGCTAAAAAGTACCAAGTCTATGTATATAGCTTTAAGTTTAGTTAACACATACTTCACCTTATTATCTTTCACTTCAAACACTATGGAAGCTGAAATCTATTAGCAACAAGTCCGTCTCATAATAACTACTCAGTATGATCTAATAATGTCAATTACCAGTTTCTCTTACTTGTCCCTTAAGTACTCGGAAGGCCAGTTAATTTGTATTAGATAGACTTATGGCTCTTCTGGTATAATTTTTTGGTATTTGAAAATTCTAATCAACATTTTATTCTAAAGCAGGTGGCGGTACTGACTTTTCAATGGACCTGCATCAAAAAGAACAGCATGACAATACTGTCTCTATGATGCAGTCCCAACACTTTCCTGTAAGTAATCATCTTACATCCTCAGGATCAGTTCTCTTAATAGCTTCAAATGGCTCTTGTCATGCTACAGCTTATGTGTTTCCTGTTAAACAAAGCAGATGGGAAGATCTGCTGGATTTAGCTTGGGTGGATCATATTCCTCTCATCGTCAACAACAACAACAACATGGTCCATCTGTTAGTGGCACCACGTCCTCTTTTGGCCATGCAAACAATCAAGATCTTCTTCATTTACATGGTTCGGATCTCTTTTCATCCTCACATGCTAGCTACCATTCGCAGGTATGTTTATTATGTTCATCAGTTGCAATATCTACTTTCTTGCATTTTTAGTTTATTATTTCATGTCAAGTAACTTTCTTTTCTTCTAGGGGCAGAATGGTGGACCGTCTAGCATTGGATTGAGATCTGTAAACAATCTTAATTCAGGTTCTGGTTCAGGGTATGACCATTTTCTTCAACATCAGTATCAACAATACCAGAAACAGTCTCAGTTTCATATGCAGCAGATGTCAGCTGTCAGTCAATCATATAGAGATCAGAACTTAAAGTCTCTGCAGACGCCACAGACTGCTCCTGATCGATTTGGTTTGCTTGGCTTGTTAAGTGTCATAAGGATGAGTGATCCTGAATTGACTTCCCTTGCTCTAGGAATTGATCTGACAACATTAGGGTTAAATTTAAACTCAGGTGAGGACCTCCATAAAAAATTTGTGTCCCCATGGTCTGATGGCCCCACAAAAGGAGGACCTGAGTATAATGTGCCAGAGTGTTATTACGCCAAACAACCACCTGTACTACATGTGAGCTGATGACATTGATACATATATGTTTCTTATCCAAATTTCCCTTTGGTCATTTTGTTTCCTTATTCCAACCATGAACTTTGTGTATGCAGCAAGGTTACTTTTCAAAATTCAAGCTGCATACATTGTTTTATATCTTTTACAGGTGCAGTTCCTTATTTATCTTATTTTTTGCTTATTTCTCAATGACATGTTTCTTGATCACCGAAATAATGTTAAATCTCTTTCTTATATATTTGTAGTATGCCGAGAGACGAAGCACAATTGTATGCCGCAAATGAACTGTATGCCCTCCCCAATCTACCATAATTATAGATTCGGTTTTTGTTTCATTTTTTTTTTATAAGGGGTTCTTTCTCTGTGTTGGCTTTATCTCATTTCAATGTTTGTTAATTCTGAATTTGATTGCAAGCAAAATCCTTTTTGTTTCTGCCTCGCAGGTCTTCAAGAGGATGGTTCTTCCACAAAGACATGCGGATATGGCTTACTAGGGTTCAACACATGGAACCCCTTGTCAAGACAGCCACATATGAGAGAGGAACCTACTTATGTTTTGACCCAACTATATGGGAGACAATTCGGAAGGTTTGGAACTTATTTCCTTTACATTATGTTTGCAATCTTTTATCTTGTGGAGTTCTAAGGTTGATTTCCTATGTTTGTTAATTCTTTATTTGTTTGCAGGATAATATTGTCCTACAGTATGAACTATTGGAGAAGAGACCAGTACTACCCCAACATTAGCAAAAGAGTATCTTATGTAAAGTTCTCAGTGAGGGACACATTGCTCTGGAGGCAAAATAGGACTCTTTGTTTTACTATTTGACCGCCATTAGTTGTGGATTTGCCTTCAGGTTGACTCTAGTTGTACCTACTTTTTTAGTTCCAAAAGGTCTCGGTTATTCTGGAATTCTTCACTAACATTGAAATAGCAATTACTCCCTCTGTCCCAAATTGGTAGTCTTGGTTCGAAAATCCAATTTTTTAAGGGAACATTATTTATTACACATAATAATAATGACTATATTTTTAAACTTTACCCTTAAATTGTACTCTAATTTTAAGACAAGAGTATTCTAGGAAAAAAGTCAAATTCACTTAATTAATGAGTATTCAAATATAGAAAGTGACCAACATTTTGGGACAACCCAAAAAGAAAAACAGGACTACCAATTTGGGACAGAGGGAATATCATTCAAAGGTTTTTTAAAAGAATGAGCGATAACATGCTAGAGTATCCCAGCCTACCCGATCCAGAGACCCTCTTCTCTTCTTTGCTATGTTTCTATGAGCAATGGGTGCACATTTGGGAGAACTGAATGAAGGAGCGTTGGAGGAAAAAAAAAAGTGTTAGAAAAAAAGAAAGCGTTAGAAAAAAAGGGAAAAAGAAAACATGTGCATTTACTCCATATGACCGCATGTTTGATAATGGATGCCTCCAAAAGGAGAAAAGTGAAATGAGGACCAAACTCCCCCAAAAGGCCAAATTTAACCTGTCTCCAAGTCGGAATGGATGATCAGAAAACATATAAGTTTGTTTATAACTATAATCACCGTGATCAAGAATTTTACTTTATTTTGTATGTTTAAAATGAGTTGACGTTGCGTTAAAAGAATTAAATGCTAAAATCCAACAAAATTGTGTTCATTCATAACAATTATTTAGAAGTCTTTATCCTTGCCTTATATCTCTCCTTTATCTTTAGTATATTTAGAAAGGGGGTTAACCGCGAGGTGTAAGTTCCTTAGGACCACACCGACACAATCCTATCGGTCCGGTTATCTAGGACCGACCGGACCACACCGACACAATCCTATCGGTCCGGTTATCTAGGACCGACCGGACCACACCGACACAATCCTATCGGTCCGGTTATCTAGGACCGACCGGACCACACCGACACAATCCTATCGGTCCGGTTATCTAGGACCGACCGGACCACACCGACACAATCCTATCGGTCCGGTTATCTAGGACCGACCGGACCACACCGACACAATCCTATCGGTACACAATTCTATCGGTCCGGTTTCAGTCCTAGGACCGAAAA